GTCTACCATGTTCACCTTAATTTCTTTAACAGAAATAAAATTGCACATCGTTTTAATGAATTACAATTAATTACAAGGTAATATGTCAAAATGTAGCTTTCCTAATTCATGGACAATTTTTTTTCACTGGTAAAATAATTTAGATACATATGTACAGGCATATTTATCATCCATATTGTAGATAAAGAGTAAGGTTAACATTTAATTACCATCATAACTTTTTTTGTATAATGAATTACTTATTTAATTCATAGATTTTTAGAGGATAAAAACCTATGGTCTAATTAATTTTTAACAATTCGTAGTTTTTTTACTCCACTTAAGAAAATGACAGTCGCTTATAGACTTAATAATTATATGTGAATTTTAAGCTTTTCTATTCATTCTTCTATAAGGGTATTCTTGTTTCTAAGATGACTCTATTTGTGTTTTTTTAGTGCATTCCTAGATGAAACAAGTCTACTATCGGTAAATTGTTTAAATAATGTCATATCTGGATTTAATGTCTCAAACGATTCATTTAATCAATTTTGTCCTAATAATTACAGAGAGTGAAATGTGTATGATAATGCACAGGTAATCTCTTCCTATATACAAATTTTTCGATCGACTTGTTTCTTCATTTTTTGTTTAACAAAATGTTAGAAAATTAACACACTTTCTAGAAGGTGAAAGTGATTTTCAAGTTTAGACTTAAGATTTATTTGCTAATAATAATCCAATCAACAATAATTAGTATGTTGTCTATATCATAATTACTTAAATCTTAATTTTGATAGCTTTTTCGATTAATTCATTTCGGAATTTTACTTAAAAATAGTACTCATTTAAGATGGGGTCTAAAATTGAACGTATCTGTCTTTCATTAGTCTGTCTATTATAACTGTTGATGAACACAAAATGAACATTTGTCGTACGTGTTAAAAATAGTTCTTTAGAAATGTCCTCGGAACCGATTTTTTTCAGATATTTCTTGATATACAAACCAAAGTATTTTATTTAAAGATACATTGATAATCAAAGCTAGGACATTTAGAGATATTATATGTTTCCGGCTTATATTTATGTTTTTCACATTTAAAAGCCAAGAGTATCTTTTAGACCCCCGTTTATAACCAATTTAAGTTTCAGACTAGCCACATTGGAATATATCAGTATAAAGAACAATACATATTTAATATTGGAGAGGAAGGACTCCAAATTTATGAACTTTAGGTAAACCATAGTGTTTCTGGTTTTTTGACATAGCAGATTTAAGTGAATTACGAAGTGCTAGTGAAATTATCATATTTTGTTTTAATCCAATAATTTAATAAATCACTTTTTTCTCATTCTTTCAGTTTACATCTTTATTGTCCCTAAATCTCTGAAACTTTGTGTGATCGCTTATTTATCTTATCAATGCAACATACATAGTTCACTAATAATAGACTTCCTGTTTCACCTCAATTACTTATAGTCAATATGCCATCTTTATTAAACTTCTTTAAAACATCCTTATATTGTTTAGCTAATAAATATTTGGTATCATACTTACTGTTTCATTCTTCTATTATCTAGTAACGGATATAAGTTTAAAACTACCAAGTTTGTTAAACGAACTGGAGATTACATTTACTGTAAGTCAAAAATAATTCTTAAATGGAATATTTGCGTTTAGTTGATTAATTTTTTGATCATAGATACAGAATTTGACTACAATTCTGGAATTAAAGTGTTTTTAAACTATATGGTAAGTTCTTACCATAAAATGACAATGAAAAGGAAACAACTACATAAGAATCATAAAACCTATGTTTTAAAGTGTTCACACATTGATTTCGAGAGCAATAATGTTCAAACTTTTAAAGCTTTTACAGTTTATGCACCAAAAGCCACGTTGTACTCAAATTCTATGCGGAAAAATTTGCCCTTGACAGAACTAGTAGCTTTACATGCTTCGTAAAATCCAATGATTTCTTTTATTACATGAAAACCACCCATGTATCATATCATCAACCAAAATCTTTTGGTTACATTTCATTTTTGAGATAAATTATTACATATTTGTACGCAACACTATTAGATTTGAAATAGTGAGTTGAGAGTTGTGTCTCTGTTTTTCGAATATTTGTATTACTTGAAAAAAACTATATTTACAACCTGACGTCTACGTTATTTCCTCTGACCTTACGTTTTATTGTAAGTAGGCATAATATATTTACCAAGTAAAGTGTTTATTAGCGGCTTGTTCTAAAAAAAATGAAATTTATTCCCCAAGTCTGTAATATTAGAAATTTGATTAACTAGGAATACAAAACCTTACTACATCTGAACTCAAAAAGTACAGTCTGCCGACATAATGTGGAAGCTGGACCACTTTTTTCAGTCCAATAAACAAATTACTTTGATCAATACATTTTCAGTGTTTAGTTTTCATGACAAAATTCAAAGCATATAATTGAAATTCATATGTTTTTTGCGTAGTTTGATTGTAGTAACACACAAAATGTTAATAAAAGGTTTATAAAATTACTGTCCGATGTAAAAACGCCGATACAACTAGGACATTACCAATGTTTTGTTACTTATACGTTTAGTTAGAAATATTTTGATGTGCACGATTTTCAATGTGATTATGATATTCATAACCCATCATTAGTTTATAAACCAACTTCTTGCAAAAAAAAGTATCCAGATCTAATTCTTTTCGAATATTTGGCGAGTAACAGATAATCTATTGCAGTTACTTACAAATTAGGAAGAGATGAATGATATAAAATTCACATCGTTGGTGAGACTATACGCTGATTGAAATGTAATCACCAATGTTTTTGAAATTCTATCTAGGTTATTGTATCCAGGAGTTAGGTTCTGTTATTGGTTTAAGTTTTTGTGGTGTTTGTATGAACCAATTATTCCTTTGTACTTGATGACTGCCTGACTTCAAATTCCAAAAGTAATAAGTTCGTTCGTGCTCATCTAGTACTTCATGGTTCAATTAAATTATTTTTGGGAATCTTAGTTTGTATTATAATTCAAATGCTCTCATTAATTACATTTTCTCGATATGATACGCTGACACGGTGAGAGTGAATCGTTTACTAGAAAGAAATTTTTGAATGGGTACTCGAGATCTGGTACCCTGTGTACACACAATCAAGTATTCATGCCGGAATATGACCAGTCCTTCACCTAAACCTCTCCTAGCCAATAAACACAACGAAATATTGTTTGTCTAATTCTTAGCTCATTTTCATTACAAACAACTGATCTCGTTAGAACAAGTTATCATAGTACAATATCTGCACAACTTTCATCTTGTATCGCCAAACTGAGACTCGGTATGTTGACATATTACAACGACAGGAACTCATTATTCCGTAAACAACGTAGATGTCCTCTCAGATTCCAGAAAATTACCAAACGAGTGAAAACAGTGAATAAGACTAGCAACTCTGCATTCGACACTGTCTAAACTATTAGGGTTTTGATGCATGACTAGATGATATGATTCACCAAAGAAAACAACCACTTTCACAAAGTTCAGCATGGCTTAGGAAAACTCATGTCTTGTGCAACAAAAACTGTGTTAGAGTGATGCAGTCAAACAGACTGCTGTAGTCAGAAGGTCCGCAAACGCGTAACTCTCAAAATTCACCGAAACAATAGATGAAGTCCCATGCATCGTTATGCTCGCTAAGATAGAGAAAATTGGGTTCCTAAATTCATTGTTTTCTTGTTTAAGAAACTACCAAAACGATCATAAATTTTCTTCATATTTACCAACAACCTAATAAAAGACCTCATTTCATCAGCTATCATATATGCAGTGAAAATAAAGCAGCAAAAAGGTGTAAAACGTGAAGGCAATTCACATGAATTTCAAAAGAACATTGAACCACTTCAACTTGCAAACGGTCTTATAATGCACTACAGAGAACAGATTGCTTAGTCTGATATTATCGTCTTTTTAGATCTCTGTAGGATTGACACCTAGGTATTTTGCTACCAGAAATTTTGGATACCATCAACAGGTAACAGGTAGATCTAGCCAAAGCCTACGTAATTCTGCACTTTGTTCAAAGACAGCCAGCCATGTTAATTTTTGAGATAGTCTCACACTTTGGCCTTAGAAGAGATGTAAGTCTCTTAGAACGATTAAAGACAGGCATCAAAGTAGATTATAGGCACAGAGGACAAATGCTATGACACCTGTTTACACAGTCTGAGACAGCTTTTACTCTTTATCATAGAATAAAAGGTGGTCTGATAATAGCGAACTAAGTGATGCATAAAATTCTTAACAAACAATGTCAAAGAAATTCACTGCTTGAACGCTTCGTCTAACCCTTTACAGTTTGTGTATAAACATTTAGATATTCGGGGTGAGTAAAATTTTCACCATGGGTTTTTCCTATCTGAATTCTCCGTCCAACATACAGTTTCAGAAGACTCGACAGCTCTATGTTTAATCCAGGTCCACCACCTTTCACGAGGTATGATGTTCAAATATTTACAGTGACGTGTAGAGACTTTTGCAAAAGTTTAACATCTCTAAAATATTTCGTTCTTAAGTCATCTACTATTGCTTCTAGTGTTGCTGTTTTAGGCAAAATCTATTTATGCCGATCCTCGTCGTCGTTTTTCATCCGTTTGTCTGTTTGTTTAGTCAGTCAACTGATTTATATCGATCGACTCACTTCTCTTTACCCCTTTATGTTCTAATACTACAACTTCATATTGTAAACAACCACTTTCCTGGTAGATGCTAGTTCCGTAAAATCATTTTCCTGAAATAAGCACATTCATATGAAGTTATACCATATCTAAATTAAAACTTACATTTAAGATATTCCAGCAACCAAGAACCTGTCGAATTGACTGAGGTTTGCCCAGTCGAGTGATTAAAGTGACTTTATTGAGCGCAACCAAATATGTTAGATGTACCTCGAAATCAGTATAACTCTTGTACTTTACACATGCCCCAACCAAAATTATTGGATACTAAACCTTCAAACTATGCAATAGAACGACTCCGCGGGTTTTCAAATCCTGAATATGTTTACGCTTTTCCCTTCTGTCTTACTGTGTGTTACTTTCCTACCATTACATCGAACAATAACGTTTTCCGCGCTGCCATCAAATGTAACCCTGTCCGGATCTTATCTCAAATTATCTTGTTCCTCTAAAAATCAAATATTTCCTATTATATGGAGTCATAACGGCAAGGATATAGCAGAAAACTGTCGATTTTATATGGAAAATCATCGTTACATATGCAACAGACTTAACGATGTATATGAAATTTACATACCGAACGTTAAATTCGAGGACAGGGGTAACTGGTCTTGTGCCCACGGGCCAAAATCTCAAAAAGCTATTAATATTGATGTCTTGGGTGAGTATATACATTTTCTCTTGTTTGATCTTATTGTTAAACAAATTTCAGCATTTAATTATCTAATAGTATTAATGCCATGAGCTCCTTAGTCGTAGTTTTGGCGATTGTGTATTTTTCTTCAAATCACAATGTTATGTTGTTCCCTTATAAATAACATAATGAAGTATCTAAATCCCACTGAACAAAAACAGTATATTGTGATGAGCTAGTAAAAAATTGAGGATATATAGGCATCATCTTTGTAATTGTTGATTTTGAAAGTTATGATTTGTAATCATTTTTTCTAACCGTGAATATGTACACTACTTGTCCACTAGTCGAATAGAATTATGACATTATTGGGTAAAATATCTGCTCCATTGTCTCAAAAGCATAATTCAAGTTTTGGTTTTAGGCGAATCACGCTGAAAATGGATAAAAATTCTCTAGGTGTTAACTCCCTTTTCTCTTTCAATTATTGTTTGGTTATTTGTTTATTTACAACAACATTTGTATTACTGAGAGGTAAAATAGCTATTGGTATGGTTCGCTCATCACAGACAGACCTTTGACTTTTGAAACATTCCAAATAAACAAACTTCCGAAGCTGATACGACTTGAAAAGTTATATACTGTGAACTTAGTTCATTCTTCTCAAAGCTTTCTGTTACGGAAGAAGAATCTTCATTTAAGCCTCAATTAACTGTGTATCGGTAATTTGAAGCGGGTATTATGAAGGTCTGGCCGTTTACACAGAAACGACTAATATTTTAGATCCTTATGTTATTTTTCACTGTCTTGCTTTTATTATGGGATGTCGGTTCTCTTTTCCCAGTTATTATGCTGATAAATTCAAAGCAAAAAGATAAATATTATCTATATGTGGCACACACTAAAAACATATCTATTTTACTATTTATTTGACATATCTCGACTCATTTTTAATCAGAGTTGGATAGTAGCTAACAGTGGAGTCAAAGACAAACATTTTGTCCTACTTCAGACTCGTCAGATGAATGGACTATCATTTTAGTGCTGATGTTTTCATTAGGTTACAGTTATAAGTTTTATTTGTCATCATCTAATTTTGGAATAAAACCAAGTAGCTAGGGTTTTTACTGACATTTCTATTTGTGGATTATGATCGGCATTAATGCAATTTTCGCTAATAAAGATTTCTTAAAGCCAACATTTCCTCATCTGATGTGTCTTTAGATTCGTTTTTTACACTAAAAGCATGATTGGTGCCCTAACTTGTGGCTTTATAGCGCGGTTATTGAGCATTTGATCTTATAGTTGATAAATTAGGTAGCAGAACTATGTTGTAGGCACAACTATAGAGACGTCTGTCTACAGCAGAGATACGTTCAATTGCCGACTACTTTTGAGCTGATTATGGAGTAGTGTCGATCCGGAAAAGTCTATAGGATGATGAAAGTTAGTGATTTGCAACAATAAATTGAGCTTCAAACTCTATCATATTAGTTTAACCACATTCATCTTTTATTTTACTCTGAAATATGAACCAATAAATCGGTAAATTATCATCTTAAATACGCGAATAGCTTACGAGCATTTCTAGAAAATTTTTCAGTACAGCTTGATGAATTAAATTGCTAGACTTTCCAAGATTACGTATTTGCACCTGTTGAGTTCTCATGTGTGTAAAGCGACACAACTGGCTCAATATATCCTGTATATCCACGTAAATATAAGTATATATTAGGATAGATTTTGATTAAGATCTAACCGAAAACTATATTATTCTCTTACATGCTCTGTTTCAGTGAACCATGTTGTTCGACTGTAATACCTTGTTTATTAAGCCATGTAAAATTTGGAAAAAGTTTGAAGACAAAAACTAATTTTACTCGATAATTGTCAGTCAGTCAGCCAGTAACAACGTAGAACTTTGTACGTACGTACACCAGTTCGAGTTGCCATACCACAGTAGCACAGAGATGCAGTTGTCAATTCAAATCCCATGGTGGTAGGGGTAGTAAAAGTATAAGCAGTAATCGGAAAGATTAGGGTTTAACGATGTGATTCAAAGAGTGTAATCCAGTAAAGTAAATTTGGAAAGAGAGAAAAAGGGGCATGTAGGATTCAAAAGATTAGAATTTAGGAGAACACAAAGAGTGGATGCACCTGCACCATTGCAAACGATTTTGAGCCATGTCATTCAAGGTCTCTAACCATCGGTTGCTATCATCTTGCGGTCCCCAACCAGGTAGTCTACACCTACCAACATGGCTCAGTCCACTTGTCAGTGACTTCATGGATTTGTGCCATGTTTTGGTCTGGCCGCCCCTAGCTTTCTTCCAACCTACTCCTACACCAGAAAACATCGCACATCGGGGCAGTCGGTGGTCAGGCATGCGTAACGTATGTCCCAGCCATCTCAACTGATGAAGTTTCACTACTTCATCAATTAGTTTGCCATCTTTACCTAGTACCCGTTTCCTAACAACCGAGTTACTTACTCTGTGGTCCCAGGATATACGAGTAATGTTTCGAAGACATCTATGATCAAATACTAGTAACCTATGAATGTCCTTTACTCTTACCGGCCATGTTTCACAGCCATAAAGTAGGACGGAACGAACTGCTGCGCAGTAAACACGTCCTTTGGTTGGTAGACGGATATCTCGTCCACGCCATAAATGACGCAAGTTGACAAAAGCTAGTCGAGCCTTCTGTATCCGTACTGAGATTTCGTCACACACCAGACCACAAGGGCTGATGAGACTTCCAAGATAAGTGAAGCGGTTGACACGCTCAACTACTTCACTCCCTATCACTAGTTTGGGTGTCGACGCAACCCAATTCTGAAGCAACATCTTGCATTTCGAGGAAGAAAATCGCATGCCGAACATGCTTGCATTGTTGCTTAGAGTGGTCAGAAGACTCTGCACTTTGTTAGCGTCTTCACCAAATAGAACTATGTCATCGGCATATTCTAGGTCAGAAAATGAATTTCCCGGTAGAAGTTCAACCCTTGAAAATTTAGATGAGGGAAGTATCATCTTTAAAAGCACATCAACAACAAAGTTAAACAAGAATGGAGAGAGTGGACAGCCCTGACGAACACCGCTTGAGGTAATCAATCCTGATGACAGTTCGCCATAAGCTCTCACTCGACCAGTTGTGTTCGAATAGAGAGCCTTTACAAGGTTAATGTACTTCTTTGTATTCCTTTCAGTGACAAACACTGCCATAGAACCTCATGATCAGCAGAGCCAAATACCGCTTTAAGGTTGAGAAATACTACCATTGTGGGGCGTCTAAATGTGTGTCTATGTTCTAGGACCTGACATAGTGTGAATATTTGGTCTATACAACCATGTCCAGTTTGGAAACCAGCCTGGTTTTCTCTAGTCTGCTCTTCACGAGCTTTAGTTAGGCGTTGAAGTATTATTGAAGCTAATATTTTAGACACTATATTAGTCAAACTAATTCCTTTAAGATTGTCACAAGAAGACATTTGTCCTTACTTATAGACTGGCACAATCAGTGATTGAGACCAGTCAGATGGGATTACGTCCAGTTCCCAGATTCTACTTAAGACTTCAGTCAATCTCGCTGTTAATACTGGACCACCATCCTTAAGGATCTCAGGGGTAAACCTGTCAGGGCCTGCTGCTCTCCCACGCTTCAGATTTCCTATAGCTTTTTCAACTTTGTAAAGAGTCGGAGGATTCACATTAATTTGCCATTCAGGTAGATTGGAGATCGTGAGAAACCGAAGTGTGGCTGAAGGCCAGTTGAACTGATCCCTAAAGTGTTCTGCCCATCGATCCAATCTCCTGGATTGAGAATGAATAATATGTCCATCTTTTACGGGGATAGTTTCGCTAACAGTTGGGTTCCTAATACCGGTTTCCTTAACGAGTCTGAACAGTTGCCTGCTGTTACCTATTGCCGCTGCCTTTTCCATCTCTTTTGCTTTCGCTACCCACCACTGTTCACGATCTTTGAGTAGGCTTCTAGTCAGCTTACGCTTAAGCTGACTCTGCTCTTCGTTATGTTCAGAGCCAGATGGAATGAGTTTTCAAGCATCTATCAGTGCGGTAGACGCTGCTGAGATCCAGTGTTTCTCCCTAACCTTATGGTTTACCGTACTTGCAGACATCACTGCTGTTTCTACAGCTTTGCGGATGTCATTCCACGCTGCCTCGGGGTGTGCATCACTTACATGGCTGCCTAACTGTTTTTTCTAGTTGTTCCTGAAATATACTCTTAGCTTGACTATCATTAAGTGGGACCCTAGATGGTTTCCTTGTACCATCTTTCCTACATCCAGTAAGACGTAGACAAATACGCGCTCGCACTAGAGCATGATCTGAGTCTAAGCATGTGCTCCAGAATGAGCGACAGTCCTCCATCGAGTCCCTCCATCGGTGGTTGATAGCAATGTGATCTATTTGGGTCCAGCGTTGGGATGAATTCGGAGGTTGCCATGTCAAAATATGTTTTTCCTTATGCTTAAAGTTAGTGTTTGCAAGAAACAGGCGGTTATCTGAGCATAGCTGCAACAGACTGTCGCCGTTATCTGTTCTTTGAGCCTCGACACCATAAGATCCACCCAGGTGTCTTTCCCTTTCGCCCAGTTTACCTACTTGAGCATTAAAGTCACCAGCCACTATTACTACATCTGAACGCCTATCTTTTCGAAGAAGGTCGGAACGCTTTCTGTAAAACTCATCTTTTGCATCATCTGAGCTGCAGTTAGTGGGAGAGTAGGCAGAGACGACGAAGAGGCAACGACGAGTGTCCCTATCTTTCCGAGTCCATACTGTTCCGTTTAGTCGGACAACGCACAAACGACCGTTTAATGGGATCCAGTCTAAGAGAGCTAGTTCTGCCCTATGACTCAATGCTATACCTACGCCAGCGAGGCCACGGGAAGCAGCATCAGGGCTTCTAGATACACGAAGCGTGAATCGAGTTGGTTTTTTATTTTGACATGGTGAGGTCAAATGAATGACACTACTCGGATCCTGTGTGCGAATTTCGGA